AAGGTAAAAAAGGAAAATCACATGTTACACAAGATACTCCATCTTTGGACGATATGAACGATGGAGTCAATCCCATGGAACAAATGTTCTCTATTATAAATTCGAAGGATCAGAAGGAATACTGGAAGAGATTGATTCAAATTGTAGATCAATATAGTAATCACAAAGTATGATGTCCCAATTGAAGCAAATGAAATGTATATTCCTCTCTGTTCAATAGCCATATTAAATTATAGAAATATACAGGGTGTAATTTGGAAATGAACTTGATACTAACATAATGAAAAATACCCACGTTGAAGAAATGCAACAAAAAGTTGATAACAGTAACAATTCAAACGCAACTACTTAAGAAGCCACCCTTTTCTCAACGTTGAAAAATGCATTTGAAGTGTGACATGATATAGGTACCTATTAAAATGAACATGTGAAGGATATACATTTCAATCATCATTACAAAATTTCTTTTTTTTTTCAATCACTAATGATGAAACTGATGAGAATTTCAAAAATCGTTCTGAATCAATTTTAGGCCTCCTCAGTTTTGCACAGTCGTACCTAGCAGCTTGAGACACATAACAATTGCACAAGAAACGGCCATGCCGTGCTGTATCTTCTGAATAATTCGAGATCGGAGTTAAAAGATTGGTGGGTAGCAAGTATATTAAATTGCTCATTAATTGACAAAACAATTTTTGTTCAATCACTTCCGGTTTCACCGGAAACGACCTCAACTTCTGATTAATAAATGTGACAGCCTGTATTTCATTCCATAATCGGTTAGGAATTATTAGGACGGACTCAACGACAGCGCGTTTGGTATAGGGTTATGTCAAATGATCACGAAGATATGTCGCACCCTTGCGACAAAAGTGTCACAACTCAAAAATCTCATAGTTTGAGTTGATACTACAAGCCGCACCAAAACTTCTCAATCCATCAACCATCCAAATAGTATCATCTCTAATAGCACACAACGTCCCTATTTGTTACAATTCAAGTCCAAATGTCCCGGACCAAAAATAAGTGTCCTTGGAACGTCTCATCCCGTACATCTCATGCAATGTCCGAGCAAGGACGTCCACGGAATGTCCCAGCAGATACATCATCTCAAATGTCCTAGAAATAGCATCCCTTAGACGTCCCACGTGGTTCATATTGTAGAATGTCCATGCAAGGGCGTCGTTGGCATGTCCCTGACGGGATATGATTTTAAACGTTCCATTAGGGACATCCATCGGATGTCCCGAGTAGTATATATTCTAGCATGACTTCAGATATTATATGATGTCCCTTCTAGAAAACCATGAAATGTCCCTGATGGTACATTTCTTCAAATATATCTCTACGCAGACGCCCTGATTATTGCCAGGATCGTATAACAATCGTCCTACGGACGTCCCAGTCGGTACTTTCAATATGTTGTCCCTGCGAGGACGATAACTTACACCTCGCCGACGAATGATTGCTCGTAGGCTATAAATACTCCCCGTCAATGTCCTTCACGTAAGTCCATTGGACATCCTTGAGAAACTTTTTCAACGGACCATCAACTCAATTGGACGTCCTCATTAGTTATGCAAGATCTGGTCCTAGACGGACCCAGGAAAATTCAAACTCAAGAATAATTCGTACGTCCCTGGGACATCCTAGGGACATCCAATTGATATATCCCTCAGCGTTGCTGATAGGTTGTCCTACGGATGTCCTCCGTAGTGCTCGATAAGGAATATTGTAGGATATAGGTATTCGATAGTTGTCCCAGAGACATCCCTCAAGGACGTCCCTAGTTGGTCCTCAAGTGGGACATATGTGCGTCCCACAGACGTCCACGGTACCAAATTCGAACGTCCTATGGACGTCCTGAATGTCCCGACAGGACGTCCTAAGGATATTCATGGGACATAATTATGTTATTGAGGATGTAAGCTCCCATGATGGCTCGCGAGATGGCGTTTGTGTCGTTTTCGACCAAGGTTGGTAGAACTGATTATAATTTGTATAGGAAGGTTGCCTCGATCGATAGTGCGGCAAGGGGGGAAACGGTCACTCGTGACGTCACAGGCAGTAAGACGACAAGTTGTCAACCTAAAGCGACATGTCATGGAATGTTGAATGTTTACAAAATAGAGTATACAAACATGATACAAACTTTTTGGTCTGCTCAGCATATTTATATTAATTTATAGTATATAATTATAAGTAAGTACCATTATAAAATATGGATATTTACATATACTTCTGTATAATACCTTCAATCTTCGAAATGAGAAGGCAATTTTGGATGGATCAGTAGTTCAGAGAGGAATACCTATCTGAAATTTTGTTCCAGGGGCTATTTACCAGGTCGTGGTACCAGGTATGTGTGTTTTGAGGTATGGAGCAGGAGCATAATTATGGAGCTCGATGATTACTTATGCATTGATTATGAACCTACTCATCCTATAAATATCCTGCAAATCAGATAATGTGAACAAGAAACTACAGAAAATATAAGAATAATCAACTGATGATCCAGAAGTAGTAGCAGTAGACCAATATTCGTACACAACAGATCACTTATTTTATCAATATAACTGTATTCTGAAAAATTAACAAACTTTCCTAGATATCTATAGAAAATACACGAGGAAATAGTATTTCATTGTTTGATTATATTGTAGTCAAAAACAGAGCAATTGATCGAAGTATTTGAGCATAAAAAAATAACAAAATATGATTTTGAACAAAATTAATGAAAAATAACACTACTATTATAAGTGAACCTATAATAAAGGATAGTTCAAGGAATCTCTCAAATAAACATAGCTCCTCTTCGTTGGGTAACGTACTCTTGCTCAAATATCTCAACTTGAAAACACGTGTGATATCTTCTGATGTCCATTTTACCCGTTCAGCAAGAATCTCAACATTCACAATAACTGGTCTGGTTCTGATCATTTTTCCAAACTTCCATACTTATGGTGTTTCTCTTGTTGTATTTGGTATTATTGATGGGATTCCTACCTTGAGTTTTCTTCTCTTTGGTGTGTGATTTAGCAATTCTGCTTGTGCCGTTCAAAATCCTCGGCATCGAAATGGGCAGAACATATTCGCCAAGTTTTGGTATTAAATGAATTAAAATTACGTTCACAAAATTGAATCCATTTCTCACGAATAGACTCATCTTATGGAAATTAATGGAAACACAAACTAAATTCACTAGTCTCATTACACTTGTACGAATTTTAACAAGAAGTGACCGAACAAATTATCATTTTTACATTTTTAAGTTCAAAATGGTTCAAAAATTCGAAAACACTGACAACTGTCAACTCAATACATGCGCCGGCCAATCGCCGGCGTACATATCATACACGAAGTGTACGAGAGTGCTACACTTTTCGTGCAAAAGAAAGGGCCTATTACGTCATGAGTTACTCAAGGTTACTCGCGGGGTGCGATCGAGGCAACCTTCCTCTACAAAATAGCCATCAGTTCTACCAACCTTGTTTTTGACGATTCAGTACGGGTCGACAGAGTATCGCATTGTTAGTTTCTGCTGATCCATGTGAAAATATTTTATATGTCATATTTTGAGTAGGTACAGTTTAGATAATCGATATCGGTTTGTCATAAACATATAATTTGATTTGTGTCATTTTAAAGGATAATATTGACACCAATAGATATAAAGTCGAAATGGAGTGAAATGAAAGTTCTTAGAGTTGAAAAGGATTCTCCTCACAACTTTTTTTATACATCATTTGATGATGAGTAAATAGTTCAGATCGTTTGTTATATATGGTTAAGAGAAGATCGAAAAAATGGATTTTGAATAGCCCAATTTAACGTAGAACATCATAGGTACCTACTCCCTTTCTTGCGTTCCGAAAGATAAATAAAATCATACCAACCAAAACTTGGTGAAACCTCTGTTATGGGTATTGAAATCTGAGGAGTTATTCTACGAGCCTATGAATATGTTTCGAGATATTTGTCTTCCATTTCTATAATCAGTTTTTATTTTCTTAACTGGTATAAGTTTTCAAGACAATATTTGAGAAGACAATGGTTATCAGTAGATATCTCTGTAATAATTATATGAAATATGAGAATTTTTTTTTCTACCCCATTTGAAATGTTCAAGATCGAAAAATCATAATCCTTGTTCGGGTAATAAACATATTCTGGACATAAAATTCGCAGTATTTTTCGTAAAAATTAATAGTAAGTTTGTATTGAAATCTCGACATCATCCTGAAGTTTTCAAATTCGTTGGGAAAATGAGTGTTCGAAAGTGACACTATGCATATAAACTAACATGAAAAATGACATAACTCCAAATATTTTCATTTCAAATATTCCACAACAGGTAGAAAGAGTGACACAACTGGAAAAACTTGAATTTTCAACTAATTTCAACTAGATTGTTGAGCCATTATAGCAGTATCCCCTTCCCGAAGCATATTATAATTTACACATAAAAAATATTTTCAATTTGATTCGGTTTAGACAATGAAGGTTTTTCGTACTTCCTGAAGAACTTATAATTTTGACTTGTGACTATTGTCGCAAGGGTGTGATATGGGTTCGAAATTTCCATGCATATGCCTAATGGGTGTGACTTCGCAATATCGGAACTTCTGATGTCTCTGTCACACTCATTGAGCAAATGGAAACTCGAATCGCGAATACCTTCGTAATCATTTGAAATAACCCTATATATCAAACCCGGTATCGTTGAAGTATTTATAATAATCACTAACCGATTATGGAATAAAATACAGGGTGTCCCTTTCAAAAATAGAAATTTCGGGTCGTTTTCGGTGAAACCGGAAGTGATAAAACAAAAATAGTTTTGTCAAATAATGAGCAATTTGATATACTTGCTTCCCAGCAATTTTCAAAATCCGATCCCGAAAGATTCAGAAGTTACATCACTGGCCGTTTTTTGTGCACTTCTCACTATACAGTGGGTACTACAGGTATATCATGTCGAATGAAATGAAAGTTTTCGTCATGCGTATAATAATCAGTCTTTTATTCTCGATTTTTACATGTGATTTTCTTCATTATCCTCGCATTTTATTCTGGTCTACACACATGGCTTTGAATTCTCTGAAAAATAAAAACGATCAATGAGATTGATGTCACATTGTGTATGTGTCATAATTTGTCAAGAAAGTATATAGGCTTGCACTAACATAAAGATACTGTTCACTCAGACAAATATGCATGGTATCATTGAAATAGTATAGGGCTGTGCTTTGACCTGAAAAATTACTCACTTTATATATCTCGGAACTTCAGGGTCCTTTGTGATGTCATTGTGACTGTATCGTAAGAGAGCAGGAAACGAATGAAAGGTGACATTTCCTTGAGTCACTGGATTTCTACGAGTTTGTGCAATCTCACTCAACTATATACAAAAATAATGTATCATTATAATATAATTAGTCGAAGAGTCGGCTGCAAATTCTGACCGTCATCTGATTAAAAAATGATATATTATGTTCCAAAGGAATTTAAAAACATTATATTATTTTGAACGTCACCTGTGCCAAACACTTTCCTGAACAAACAAGATAAGATAACAAGAATAAAGACAGCCGATACCAATTGAATGATAGATCTCAAAAACCTACCTGAGCCGAATGCACGGCACAGCGATATATTCTTTGCCATTATTCCGGACATACTTATGTCATGTGATAACGAATTGAAACAAAAAGCAAATGAAATGGGATGATATTCCCTTCGCAGAGCAGAGCGTCATTATTTCCGAGAATATTTTGCCCCTCTCTAAAGATGATATCCGGTGGACCAGTGTGAAACCCATCATGTAGATTAAATAACTTGTAGTGCGAGCACCACATGAATTTTACACTGGTCCATCGAATATTTCGACGGCCCGAGGGGGCAAAATATTCTCGGAAATATTGACGCTCTGCTACTAACTGAGATGAGTTTAAGTCGCGGTACGTTTGGATATTCGCAAAGGGGACATTATCCCATTGCATGCGCACTGGTTATCACATGACGAAAGTTTGCCTGGAATAATAACAGCAAATAAATCGCTGTGCCGTGAATTTGACTCGAATTGAGGAGTGACACAGGTAGTTTTCCAGGTCTACCATTCAATAATTGGTATCGAATAACATAATTCTTATCTCGTTATCAAATCGCGAAATTGAGTGCAAATTACCGCACAGGAGAGTGCAATTTTTCAATAATTCTTCGCAGGATAGTGATTGGCACAGGTGCCGTTCGATATAATACAATGTTTTCACATCCCTCTGGAAGATATAATATTTCGTTATCAGATGACGGTCGAAATTTGCAGGTGGCTCTCCTACTATAAAAAATTAACGAAGAAGTTCACATGTGAATCCGTTTTGACATAAGTCAAACCGAATTTTATTCCTATTAGATACCTTAAGAGTATTTATTCATGTCTCATTCATCAAATTTACAATATCTAATATATCTATTTGGGAAAGTACACAAATATTTCACGTTTGAGGCCACTCATGAAATTATAAAATGAAATGATGAAGTGCATTTCCATTTCACTTTTTTAAAATCAACTGTAAATCTATACAAACCTAAAGACTTGCTGAATCCAGTTTCAATAAATGAACTCAAAATTTGTTGTTTCATTCATTTTGTCAGGAAGAAATTGAAGATATCAAATTTGAATTTTGATGAAGTTAATATGATTCACGCCCATGGAACGGGGCAATCCAATTTATTGATAGCAAATAATTAGCAGTCAAATTCTGGTTAACAATCAATATTCACGATTTGGTTACATGGAATGGATTATAATAATAACATTTTATATATTATAATTTCATTAAGAAGAACAATAATTGTGCAAATATTATTATTATTATTATCATTCATTATGTTATATGAATGTTTTCTTATATACAGGGTAATTCACATAACAATCGACATAGGGCAGCGGCATGTAGAGGGTCCCAAAATATGGCAATTTAACGCAACTTACCTCTATACCAAGTTACTTCCCTAAGGAGTTATAGGCATAGCACTAACAGCATTTCAACTTGCTCGTTAAAAATAAACTTCCCGTTCATTTTGAAAACACTCAAACAACAATCACTTAATTGAACAACTCACTTGCCTCATTTTCAAGTTTGACGTTTATTTTCATAGCCAACTTCTGAATTTTCGATGATTTTAAATAACACACCTAGAGCGCGCGTTTTCAGTTATTCGAGTTTTTGATGAAAATGATGAGGTTTTTCGAAAAATTACTAGATCAAGAAAAGTTATAGAATTGAATTGCCCACAAAAAAAGCAAAGATTTTTGAAATTCATCAAGGGTTATTAACAAAATAATGTTGAATATCAATGGTGCGCCACCCGGTATACCCCCTTCACAAATTTCAATCAAACTCTTGTTACTGTCAAGTAACGCCCTAAATACATCCACAAAGTGTACCAAATCTGGTTGCTTTAAGTTCAATAATAACGAATATATTGATTTTTTTCAAAATTTATAACTTCACTTTCAAAGCCTATATCTCCTTAGGGAAGCAACTTGGTATAGTAGAACAATGTCTTTCCTTCCATCTGGAAAAAATCGTTCATTATTCCTCTACCCAAAATTCCCAATCCAGTGGAGTTCAAATCACTTCGTCCCATCAGCATTCTATGTACCTTATCAAAAGCTTTCGAAAAAATAATTCTCTCTCAAATTCAGGATCACCTACAATCTAACAGCATCATTCCCTCCCATCAGTCTGGATTCCGACCTCAACACAGCTGTGTAACCGCATTAATCAAGGTCACAGATGACATTTTCACCGCGACGGATCAACAACAGCTCACTGCTCTGGTTATGCTCGACTACAGCAAGGCTTTCGATAGGATCAAGCACCAGTTGTTGTTGGCTATACTTCATTATATTGGTTTTTCTGCATCCGCTACTTGCTTGCTAGGAGCTTACTTGAACAATCGCTTGCAAGCTGTTTTATTAGAACGAGACTGTTCTGACTTTCTGGTAGTGGAAAACGGAGTTCCTCAAGGATCGATATTGGGTCCGGTGTTATTCATACTCTATACCCATGAATTTCATAGTCACATAAAATTCTGTAATAGTCACTTTTATGCAGATGACACACAGTTATACATATCATTTTCTGAAAAAAATCTTCCCCTGGCTAATTTCCAACTGAACTCTGATTTGGATGCTATCATCTCGATATCTGAAAAATTCTGTCTTTCATTGAACCCCTCAAAATCCTCTGCGATTCTTTTCGGCAGAAAGGTCGCTCGCAGTCGTTGCAAGAACTTAATGACGATTAAAATCGGGGAAGTAACTATTCCTTTCTCTGATAGCTCGAAAAATCTGGGAGTTATTCTTGATTCCTCGCTCAATTTCAGTGGCCATGTCAATCTACTCGTTCGGAGAGCTTTCTGTAACCTCAAATTGATATATTCCAACAGAAAAATGTTAGATAAAAACGGGAAGAAAACTCTCTGTGAGTCACTAGTTCTCTCACACTTGAATTACGCTGACACTATTTACGGACCCGCCATCACCAAAAGAGACGCCCAGCGAATACAATTGATTCAGAACTCTTGTGTACGTTTAATTTGCGGACTAAGTAGACGAAATCACATCTCTTCCCCTCTCCAAGAACTCGGATGGCTCAATACCGAAAAAAGAAGAATACTTCACCTTTGCACTTTATTTCATAGTATAATAAATTCGCAAAAACCACCCTATTTATACGACAAGATCACATTTCGTACGGACGTGCACAACATCAATATTCGGCACAAATCACGACTTACGCCACCTCAGCACTCCACAGCCCAGTTTCAATCGTCATTCTCCTTCACTATTACCAGGCTTTACAATAGGATTCCGGAACGGTTCAAAACTTTATCCACTGCATGTTTCAAAAGTAGTCTCAAAAAGAGCCTACTGTCAGGAGAAATATCTCTATGATGCCTCTTATTTTCTGGTTAATTTTTTTTATTTTTTTTATTTCTTTACTTTAACATGCCTTATTCAATTTGTATTCATCATTCTGAGTAGTTTTATTAATAGTTAATGTATTGTATCAATTTATATTCAGTTGTTAACATAGTTTTAGATTATTCAGCGTAGTTTAATACTAACTCCATAGGTTGAGTGGAAGAAAGCACTTGTTCGACTCAACACCGAGTCCGAACCAGAGCTAACTCTGCCTTTTGATAGATGATGTTATATGTTACCTTTTTTTGTTAACCATTATCTGTCAATAAAAGCGATTATTATTATTATTATTATTAGTAAGTTGCGTTAAATTGCCATATTTTGGGACCCCCTACATGCCCCTGCTCTATGTCGGTTCTTATGTGAATCACCCGGTATATCCCTATTATGAACAATAATTTCTTGTACCAGGTGATTCAATAAGGGTAACCGAGAAGCTGTATCTCAGGAACTAATAATTTGCTAACAAAAGGTATGGTTCGAGAAAGGAAGGTTTGGTGAATGAAATAAAGATCCATACATACCATTCTGGTTCTTACCGCCCTCGATAGGAGGCGTGTTTAATAAACTATTAGTTCCTGAGATACTGTACCTCGTCACCGTTATTGAATCACCTAGTACAATCAAATCTTCTCAATTATTGATCTCACCTTTTTCCCTAATTTGAAAGGAACGACATTGTCATCTTCTGCATGCATTATCAGGATTGGACAATCCACAGACAAGATGTTCTTCGAAGTCCTGAAGAGGAAACCGTTATTTTCCAAAGGTTTTTGTACCGTTTGTTCGAAATAAGCCAACCAACCGAATATCTAGAAACAAATGAGAATGTCAAAAGCCTCGAAAGCTCCTAGTTCAGAACGTTCTGAGAATATACCGTACAGACTTTTTAGAAAACGTTACGTTTCAAATATACTATAAACATTACCCTTCTGGAGTGCTGAACACGGTCTCCTAATGATGTAAAATGCTCGATTCATGAATGAACGTTCTGAACAAATTTAGTTGAGAATGTTCAAAGAACTTCGCATTTCAAAGAACACGCCACCTTTCATATTTTTTTACACACAGTCCAACATGTGGAGAATACGATTCTTTGGTAAAAGTGCACTTATCATGCGATGGGTTTTTTTTGGAATTTTTTTGGTACTTACGTATTTTCGTCTGAAAAACACGAATTTACAGGTACTTGCTATTATTATTTTGTCATCGGACACTTTATATACTCATGATGTACTTCACTGACACATTTTGAGATAGAAAATTCAACAGGAAATATGATTTTTATGGAGAGTTTTTCCTATTTAGTGAGCAACCATACCAGATAACGGCCATTCAATCCATATGCAATCCAAATACGAGATGTCAAATGTCAATAGATTGCTTTGGAATGACATTACACACGCCATTATTTCAAATGATATTCTAAACATGGATAAATCACAAGAAAATCATATTTCTAGTTGACTCATATAGTAAAAAAAATTTGTCCAACATTGTGTGATATATATAAATTGTCCAATGATGGAAAAAGAAGGGGAAATTGTTCTAAATGTGATCCAGAAGACAGGCGGAAAAGATGGTGGAATTTGTAACTTTATAGTGAAATATCTCGATAAATAGTGGTTTGTTCACATTTCCATTATGAAATTCGTGTTTTTCAGACGAAAATACGTAAGTACCAAAAAAATGTTTCGAATGAGAAGTGCACTTTTACCGATTCTTTTTTTCAACCAACGCCCCATAAGTGGAAACTTGTGCAGGATCAGTGAAGCAAGCATAAACCAACATCCTTGACCTTACCCTGAGCTATAACCCTACAAATGGAATGCCTCAGTGTTGCCAACAGCCAATTTCAAAAGCGGCAAGATGACAGAAAAATAGCAAAATTATAGCTAAAAAGCGAAAAATTTTTTAGCTATTTCTTGGCAAATCTAGCCATTTTTTGCAATTTTTTCAGCAGAAACCAGAAATCTGACCATGAACTACGAATCCGACATTGGAAATCGATTTTTATTCAATATTTTTTATATTGACGTATGAGCAGGTAATGTGTCGTCATTGACGTCAGCGTTAAAATGTTACAAAGCTGGACTACAAAGTCATTACAGATTGGCCTGAATTTGACTCAGATTAGATCGTGAATTCAAAAAACTATCTATGGGAATTTCATAATCATGAAAATATTTTGATAGATAGTCAGAATGAAAGAAAGCTAGAAAATCGAAAACGATCCTATTCACACGTGAAATCTATCGGATTGACAACAGCAAATGACTGTTGTTGTCAACTCACTCTCCACGCGGACCACGGTTGCCAGGTCGATTTTTATTTCGTCCTGTGAATACCTTGTCAAATATTCAGTAAATTTCAATAGATCTGTTCAAGATCTATTCAATGCTTTACGAATTCCAAGGAAGGATAATGAAAGGAACCTATGACGTCAAAATATTCTGTACTTCTAGTTAATAGAGAAGTAATCTATTTCCAACAGAATATAAACAAATAAAACAAATATTCTCATTCAAAAATAATCATACCTACTCCTAATTCTCAATTCAAAAATACTCACAAATATCACAAAATACAGTTACAATTTTTGTACTAACAGGAACGAATAGTAAAAACAATACATAATTAAATTGAATTTGATCTAGATCAATATCGTCCTTTTCGGTTTATACATATCATGAGTACCTATATGTACATGTTTTACTTATTTTGTAAAATTGATTCAGACAGAGCGCGCCAATATCATTCAATTTATAATTGTTTGTGTCTGCTGACGAATAGTGATTCATACGAGACCAACGAGACGAGACTTTCATGAAGTCTCGTCCCGTCTCGCCTATGAAGTATGAAATCTTGTCTGGAGTCTCGTCTCGCAGCTTAGAGTCTCGTCTTGTCTCGCGTCTCGTACAAGAGTCTCGCAAAAGTATCGCAATTTCGTCATGCATAATCTTATTCCAGTCTAGTACGGGATATTTACCTTTACCTACTTTTTATGTATAATGTAGAAGTAGGAAGAGGAAATTACAACAAAATTAACATTATTTATTGAAAAGTAAGTACCTATAATAGGTACATACTTACATCATACATCTAGACAAGAAAAACAACATAGCATTATATATTCGAGAATTATAAAAATAAAATGAGAAGTTACACGTATTTTAAACAAATGAACAAAAAAAAACTTCAATCCAACAATATTTTACTTATTCAAGAAATAGGTATCTGAGAAAAAAATCCTTTATCAGTCAGATCAGCCTTCACGATCGCAAATGTTTTTGTTTTTCACCAAGTCGTTGAGACATAACAAAATCGTGCAGATTCATTATTAAGGCGATTCCGATGTTTTCCTATGTGAGAATGATATTTCCGCTGGGACTGAAGTAGCCGGCATGCTTAAGTATTTATTAATGAATTCTTTCTAAATATGTTGTATTATGAATGAAATTCTCAAGTCTGCAGTCGGCACGCAGAAATATTTACCTGCGAGTCGGTGTATCGTTCGGAAATCAGAACGTAAAATGTGATTTTTTGTAGAGGTGGACGAAAACATCAATTTAATGTGAATTCATCAACACGAAACTTTATCAAGAGTGAATATGTACTAACGGCAAACGAAAAACTACTAAGAGGCAAAAATTCGATGTTTATAGGTATATACATGTTTCTTATAGCAGGTGCCGACCGTTCCGAGCCGAGTCGACCGTTCCGAGTCGAATCAGTGCTCGTCCTCCTTATAGTTCAGTGGGCCTAACTGGGAATCTAACCCATGTATCGGTGTGAGTTCCCATACTCATACGAACTCGCTCTCGACCACCGCACCGCCACCGCACTACCTGATAGTATCTAAACTTTGAGAGAGAAAAACCGAATTGTTGTGTTCATCGTATGTTAATAATCATAGAAGATTGGAGTATTAGCCATTAAGAACATATTTCATTAAATATGACGATACATTTGTAGTTCTGAATACGTTTTGCTTAGGGCATTTCAGACTTTGTTTTTGTGAAAAGTAGATGAGCTATGAGTGGTCATCAGGACCAAAATCTCATGTATTTTTATTGGGGAGCCAAAGTGAGTAGAAGGCGTGACCGATGTGGGAGGTATATTATTGGTTGGTCGTATGCACGAAAGAAAGGGGTAGGTAATAGGTCTGGGCAAAAATATCGATATATCGATATATGTATATCGATATATCGAATAACGATACCAAAACATGCATCGATACATATCGATATATATCGATATATATCGATATATCGATATATATCGATATATCGATACATACCGATACCAAAGCATGCAGTTCACATTTTGATACGACTTCTAGAAAACGTTCACTGAATAATACTGCTATTCCCTCGGAGTTCCTATAGGCACACATCCAATATAAAACTTACAGTCGAGCTTAAAGTGAAACGTCAGACATCAAACCTTGATTTTGATATTTGAGATAAATTTTCTATATTATGTTGAATAATGAAGTTTCGTTACTTCGTTACACCACCAGTAATCGAAATATCTCATGTATCGACATAATAATTTATGAATATATTTTGAGTATCGATATATTTGAATATATTATATGTATCGATATATATGAATATATTTTATGTATCGATCTGTATCGATATATCGATATGTATCGGTATGTATATATAGGATTCAGAAAGTTCAGAACAATTGTTGTAGATATATTTACTAAACTCACGAAAATATGATCACGTGTCTGAGAACATTGCGAAATTGGGCTGGTTGAGAATAAAGTCTCGTCGTTATTTAATTGCGATTTCGCAGGCACCTCCATAAAGTTAATATTCGCGTGCACAGTATTATATTCATATTCCTTCACACCATACAAAAAGATTTAAATCTTCCTTCGTCTGCGGAGCTCCTTAAGTTAATAATAATTTAGATGACCATCTGAAGAGAATGTCAGTAAGTTCACTTGAGTCAAATCTTGAAAAAATCCTTCTAGCCAAACAATTGATCATCAATTTATAATGCAAAATCGTATAACTCAATGAATCTGTCTCTCCTCTAACCAAACAGATCATCCTCAACTCATGATGAAAAACTATGTCATAATATATCTATCTCTCACATTTATCAAGAATTTTTTTCCGCAATTTTTTTTTTCAATACACATTGTAGTTCTTCTGGTGTATGCTGCATTGATATCTATGTTCATCACATAAGTTGTTAGGTTGAAGTGTAAGTATAATTTTATACTAAACTTTCGCCTTATTATTTTATTATTATTATTGTTATTATTATCATTTAGTTCATATAATTCCAGTCACGACCCTGCGGCCTCCGACGTCACGCAGAGTCGTGCTGGATAAAATCCAGTGACTACTCCTCACAGCCTGTGAGGTGAGTAATCACTGGGACCAAGTACCGTGTGCCCTAAGTAGACGCAATGATCCCAGTATGACGGCCTTCTGCATTCCACCAGCCAGGATGTGTGCCTTATCACGGCACGCTGGGATTTTCTGGATCTCCGAGAGCAGCGTGTGTGTCGTGTGCCTCCTAGGGAGCCGATTATCAGGATGACCAATTCCACAGAATGGTCTGGATAGAGCCGGCGGAGTTCGAAGAGAAGATCTCGATATTAGCGATCGTTATTATTATTATTATTATTGTTATTATTATTATTATCATTATTATATATCGATAAGTATCGTTATATCTATAAATATCGATATCAAAGCAAACATCGATATCGATATCCAATTTTCAATATCGCACAGCCCTAGTAGGTACTCCAACTGTTTAGCTACAACACTGTTCATCTCCACTTCCTCAATACCTGTTCCTTGCTTCCGTATCTACGCTCAAGTTCAACTAATCACCTTGATCCACTTTTGACCACAAATTCTACTCCTCACATAGAAAACGTTCAATTTTCCCCAGATTGCTGTATACCGTGTGTATTACTATGTCGTACCTGTCCGAATATATTGGTGGCTACCTCTTCTCTCATAGTGGTGAAAGGAGATTCGAGTATGAGACCCTTCGGCACAATGTTATGGTTCTCCTTCAACTTTTTCACCGTGTGGGTGCTTAGAGCAGTGCCCAATGAGTGGCCCCAGATGTAAATATCCTGGTCGGTTAGAGATCTGACCCACCTGTATATTTGGGTGGTGTCGCTGACTATTCCCAGTTCTGATGGATCCATGTTTGGAGCCGAATCCCCAAACCCTAAAAAAATACTGCCTACTTGAATTACAACCTCCCGAAATCTTTGCAACGATTCGTATAGACGAATAAGATTGCGATAAGTCGTTTCTTTCCTAAATGCTGAATGGAAGGATGTAATTCAATATTCTGCGTGGCATATATATCTAGGAAAGTAACTATTTTTCTTTCGTTATCTACGTTGGGTCAGATTCCCACCAGATGGCCTTCATGAAAGCCACCTGAGGTTACCCATGCACTGATGAGAGGCAAAGCTCAAAACCGGTCTGTGGGTAGTCAAGTGTTCCTGAATAATTCAAGCACAATTCAGCTTTTCGGAAATTAAGATCAGAAATCTCATTCGTCTATACGAATCGTCGAATAGATTTCTTCTGGGGGATGTGATTCAATGTTTTGCGTGGAATATACAGGGTGAAACATAAGTACGTTTGAATATTCAAGTGACGCATTCCTGAGACAATTTCGAGAGAAAAAAAAAACTTGTGTCCGAAAACACTTCGTTTCGGAGATACAGGATGTTGAAATTATTTTTGGTTTCGTTTCTTAAAAATGCGATTTTTTCAAAACATAAGTCATGAAATTTTTTATTATTCAGTTATTTGAAATTGTCCCAACATTTTTCACAGAGCAGTTCTGGTACTTTTCATGAGAAAATCATATTCCTTCACCTTTTCCAAATAAAAAAGGCTCACTTCCTCAACAAAGCTAGAAGTGATTGTTTTCGATAGATATTTACTATTTTCTATATCGATGCATGCATGTTACTTAGCTCATATAGGGCGCTAAGTGAAGTTGCTGAGAACATTACAAAAACTAAGTATGTATGGTCTCGTTGAAATAAACCATTTATTCTTATGATATTTTCATCGAAAAATGATTCGGTTTCGAGATGCAGATGGTTGATTTCTTCCAAAACATTGTTGGTTTTTGTCATTAGTTATTTGCAATTTCTCATGTCGAAAAAACCCTGGGTACCAAATTTCGTGCAAATTACTCAATTTTTGCAAATGTTATTTTTAAAAAGCGAACAAAAAATTCAAATTCCACACCCTGTATCTCCAAAACAAAGCATTTCCGCATACAAGTTCATATATACTCTTGTTCTTAACATTGTCTCAAAGTGAACTCTTATTTTGCTATGGAATGTTAATCAAAAAATGGTTTGTTCTATTTATTTCAATATCCTGTATCTCTGGAATGAAGCATTCGCGGACAAAAGTTTACATAGACTTTTTTCCTTGAAAGTGTCTCAGAAATATGTCACTTAAATATTTCAACGTACTCATGTTACACCCTGTATAGTCAGGATGTAGTTGTTTATCTCTCGTTATCTAGCTACCATCAGTTTCGTTCATTTATGAACATTTGTGGAAACGACTTCCAGCTTTGCATATTTATTTATATAAATGTTATGTTGGGCACTGGAAAACTTCATTTTTGTGAATGAGTTCTTTGAGAGTTCGAAGTGCTCACCTCTATGATCCAGGGCTATCACCAGGAAGTGTTTCCTTTGCGCATCGTAATTCAAAATCCTGTTCACACCAACACCGTGCAGGTATAAAGCAATCGGAGATTTTGTGTTTCTCAATATTGATGCCACAGTCTCATTGGCGGGAACACCTTCAAATAATATTCTCGTTGTTTTTTCCTTTTCTGGAAGAATCATCCAAGCTCCTATGCTCACCAACGTGGAGTTGTCTAAATCCACAGTGGTTTTGTAGAAGTTAAGGATCCCTTCGTTGCCATATTTTTCTGGGTTATGGAAATCTGGGTTCTTGGGATTTTCGACTTTGAAATGAAAATAATGGAAATTAGGCACAAATATACAACATACAATATGATAGTATTTCTTACACAGATTTTTGGAGTTTTCGAAAGTTTTTATCAACAGGGTAAATAAGAATGAGCTGAATGATTCTGAAACACTTTGTTTTCAAGTTACTTCCTCCATTTTGGGGAAAAAAATTCACCTAATATTTTTTTGAGAACTAGAAGTCTTAATAATGCGATGATAATTGCTCACCAATTTAAAATTAGTTTTATTATCTATGACTACTTATTAAAATCTTCTAATTTCAGATATAGGTAATTCCATATCATCGATAACAATTGTGGACCATCATATCAAAGGAATGGAAACTTGATTAGGCCGTATTTCAATTTATCACCATATAGGTAACATAATTACTCACATTATATGAGCATCTGTTGGTTTATATTTTGGTTTAACTTCGAATTTTTTATATTATTTCAGGAAATAAATGAAAAAATCTATATTAACTTGTGACACTTCGCCTTTGTAGGTGCATACAACAAATAGCATCAGTTTTCCAATCTTTTCATGTTTTCATCAGTTCATGTGAAAAACAATTTGAAAGTTTTTCCTTGAGCTGGCCTCCAAAACTATAGAAGTTGATAGATCGTTGTTCGAATATTTCTAAATTATTATTCAACATGAATGTAACATAAATGTAACATGAATGTATTGGGGAAAATCAGATTAATTAGCTGGTCATAGTATCAAATACTCCCTCTATGGTGTTTCACTATATAATTATGTTCGTGGTAAATTTTACCAGGATGCCGTGTTGATTGATTTTGAATTTTTGTATTTAGTTTCAATACGACGCCTAGTTGCAGATAGTTAGGATGTTTTAATGTTTTTAACTGGTATATTTCACTTCGAAGATTCTTTCAGTCTGCACCATTCTTTTTTCTGTGTGTTACTCTTTTCCCTACATCCTTCCCAGGTTCGCACGATTTTCTTCAAACATTATAGGGATTTCCTTTCGTGCGCTCCAAGAGATAAAAAAAATAGGAACCGCAAATTTGGCGAATATTTATGAAAAAAAAAATTGTTCTCAGGATGGCAGTTCAGAGCCGTGGTATGAAATAGTTCTTCAATAGGAGGTGAATAATAATTCTACCACAGATCTATAAATGGTTCTACTTCAATTGTTGGGTAATAGATATTTATGCTTTGCGATATGCTGATAACTCGTTAATACCCCTCTCCTGTACATAACTGATATTATGGATAAAATCAATTGATAAAAACTTCAATCATTCAATAGATAGAATGAATGTATTGGACTCAGTCTGAATATTTTGCATCTGAATAATATTCAAAAATCAATCAATATAATACTCACTATTCATAAACATGAAGTATCTCTGGAGGGATATATTGTTCATGAAGACTAGAGGAAATATGACCCAATTTCCAATGAAGGCCAATAGCAGTATACCAAATCTATATAGAGAATTTCAATGTTAATCACACGATAATATGCAATATTGTCATTTTTACAATTTACATTGCTTAGTTATTAGAATCACCCAGTATCCTAGACTGTTCGATATATGTCAATAGTTCATGACATACGATAATTAGTTTTCAATAAATATGTCAAGTTACATTTCAAGCCCTTCTAATATATCCCAGTTCTATACAATAATTGGCGACGATAGTGAAAAATAAGATTCAATATTGAAATGGACGCAAATCAATTCAAGGAGCTGATGTTAGCGCTACAGGACCAACAGCAATTATTACTGACTCAACTTGCCAATCAATTTCGATCGGAACAACGTTCCGAAGTTCCAATGAGCTTTTCAAATGTAGTGCCGTTTGAAACTTTCGATCCAAGACGTGAGAAATTCCTATGTTATCTGGAACGTTTCGAAAATTATCACACCATGAAAGGTATCACGGATAAATTCAAAATCGCCCAACTTCCATGTGTATCGATTGAGTCAACTCACTATAATAGCTTAGCGCAGCTTTCTTAGGACCCGAAAAGCCAGTAAAAAAATTATCTTACGATGATCCAGTTTGGTTCCAAAGCCTACTGTCACCTTTGGACCTACTCAATCATTCGATGTACCAAGAATACCAACAGTGTCACAGCCACATAATATGCCAGAATGTGTTGTTGAACCAGTAGAACCAAATAGGTGTCATGTTCCAGATATTCCAAGATCGACCACAGCGCCAGCGACGCCTACCTTCACGTTTTGCTGACTACGACATGAAGTCTTGAAAATTGTTGTTATGAGTTGTATTCTGTATTTTCTAATTATGTGGGGAAGACTATCATATCCTTAGTTATAAGAATCACCCAGTATCCTAGTCTATTCGATATATGTCAATAGTTCATGACATACGATAATTAGTTTTCAATAACTGTGTCAAGTAACATTACAAGACCTTCTTATATATCCAAGTTCTATACAATATACATCATTCTACTCATCGGAACAGTTTTTTCAGTAGGTTGGTACTTTATAGGCTTTTGTTATTCCAGCAACGAATTTCTCAAATTGACGCGATTTCAATGGTGTGAGTTATAAAACATATCTATCAGTAACATATCTTGGCTCCATATATCTGCCCAATATTGCTGATATTGTAACAGTACAGAGCCAATTATACTGCCAAGTATTTACCTGTTAGGAAACTATCTAAATATTTCAAGACTATATTCTCCTATTGACACTAGCAAGTAGAACTTACAAATTTACATAATTTTGCCTACAAATGAATTTGCGTTATTTTACAGTTGATTCAGCACAATTAGGTCAGTTTGTTCGTAGTTCGTCAATTCAGAAAAAATTCAATAATCAAGAAGTTAGTCAATATGCATAATATATAAATTATACATACATAGAGCTAATTTTTCAAACAATATACTATGTCCACGATGAGCATACCAAGACAACGTCAAAGATTACCTACTGGTTTATTAAATTATTATTGTTGAGATATTCTGATAAAAAGTAAGCCCTTCGATTTCATATGGACCGTATAGATATTACCATGTATTACTATTACATGAACGTTAAGAGATAAAAAGTTGTATAATAATATTACGTGTTATACATGGTTATATGAAGAACTTTTAACTGTAGTCATGACGAGTGATATTTTGTTTTCTTATTATCATGGCCTACCACATTCGAAAATGGTTGATACTGTTTCTTGGCCATGTTTTATGTGATAATGTCGATATGGTGAACATGGTTGTGAGGGGAATATTTAGCCATATTCAATGGTTTATTTAAAGAACAAGTATGAGAAAAATGAAAGTTGCATGGAAAATCTCTGAAAATAATTCATAACAATCCCAACTTCAGAAGATTTATTATTCCTCATTCTTATATTGTGGGTGTTCGATAATTATAATTCGATGTTCGTCGTGGCATATATCCAGGTAAGTAGTTGTTTTTTGATGTATATACCGAGAAAGAATTACTATTCTCATCACATAGAGAATGCGAATTGTCGATGTATTTCTCGATATGTATTAATTTTTTTCATTTCCATAATATATCTGCGAATATTCCTTTTCGATACGTTCACACCCAATCAAGGTGTTCAAACCTGAACGATGAAAATTTGTTATTTCTATAAAACTCTGATCGCAGAATTGTTATTGGGTTTTCTCAATTCAGAATTTTCTTTTCACGCCCTGTATGCTGACTATCAATTTGTCATACCCTTTCCAAACAATATCAGAGAAGCTTGAAATTGTTTCAGTTTAATAAACGGCTAATTGAAGAGGTTCGAATTACGCACCATGCACAATGTATAGAAAAATTCGAGATGGCTCGATTAAGTGATTGATTTTTGATATATATTGGGAGAACCTAATATTTTCATTATTTTGAATGAAATTCTGATTTGAAAAATATTCGAATAACTAACAACCTATTAATCATTTCCTGGCGAACTGGCGAAATATCAAACTTTATCTGTTGAATACCCAAAAAAAAATAGAGATAAAATGTATTACCTGAAGTTGGAAATTCTCATTTTTATTCTTTACCTATTTTAATTATCAGAAATGCCCTCCTTTTCATCATACTTTTATGAATCAATACCTACCTCCTGTCCCTATCCTCCCTAGGAACGCACGATGTTCTTTGAACATTATAACATTATAGGGATTCCCTTTCGTGCGCTCCAAGCGATAACAAAATTAGAACAAAAAAAAAATACTTTTATGAATCATAAGTCTTTTACATACTCATCGTGAAATTTGTATATCGCTCTACTCCCAAGTTGCGAACCAACTACCCAGAATTCGACAGTTGTGCGGGGTTAGGAAGAGCCCAGCGAGCCCAAAAACATCTTAGAGAAGTTAAAAGTACGAGATATCGATAGACATTGAACCTCCACTGCGATGTCCTGTTCAAACATGAATAGAACTTTCACAACCAAAGTCCGCCATAGGCGGCGTTTTCAATGATTTCTTTGGAATGTCACAAAAAAACATTCTCCCTGGTATTTTGATAGTCTTTTCATGGACACAACTCAACCTTTCTGAAGCGTTTTGCGCACATTTGATCGCTGCAAATAAACCATTCCTGGTGGGTAAATTGTATGAAGAAGAAGAAAATTAATTAATTAATCGAACCTATTGTGATTGAATAGAAACACACTTTCATATAAAAGAGATGTTAAACAATTCTCCACAGAATGTGGGGGTCTACTGGTGATGCCTCGCTCACAGACTCGCTCACTTCTCTGGAACACCGTAAAAAAGTTGGAGATCTGGCTCTATTTTATAGATATTTTCATGGACGATGTTCTTCTGAAATATCAACAATTGTTCCTCCCTTGGCAGTCCCCGCGAGATTACCCTAACAACACCAGTACATCCTAGGGACTTCCCAGACGTCCCTGATTCCATACCAGGACATCTCAGGGATGTCCTTTGTCGGGACAACGTACATACTAGGGATGTCCCAGGGACATCCGCTGGCCACAAAAAAAGGCATCCAAGGGATGTCCTTCTGGTGCGTCCCTGGGATGTACCAAGTACGATGAAAGGATATCCCTAGGACGTCCCAAGGATATCCCAGGGACATCCTTTCGACAGAAGAAAAAAGTTGTAGGTCGAGTAGGGATTGAACCCGGGACCTTTGGCTTATCATGCACGCACCTTGCTCCATTGACTATCATGCCTCCTGAAGATTCATGTACTAAACAGATTTATAAACAGGACTCAACTACAGAAACCTGAATAAATACAACTTTGTTAGGAATTGGGTTTAATTATTATCATTCTTGGGTGTTTCAAAATGAGGGGCATTATGCATGTACGATTTCTGTCTGCGAAAAATGGGAATTTCTTAAGAAGTTTTGAGGCTTCATTCTTTATTTTCATCACAATCATTTTCTGGAAGAGAAACAAACATTCTCAAAAAAATAGTTTGATGAAATTCAATGACTCTGATGTGAATGGATATCAGATACTCCAGGGACACGAATAGGATAACCTAGGGGATGTACCGGGCGGGATGTCCACTGGACAACCACTGCAGGATATCCCCTGGATTTCCCAATCATGTCCTGTGTTGTTAGGGTAACCAGTCGAGTTGAGGCTTCGCACCCCTTCGTGGTCACTTTGGAGACCTGCAGAACATCTCTTTCCAAAGACTCGTTCATCCAACGAACAGCGAGGCTCTGGAACACATTGCCAAGGGAGGTATTTCCCGAGGCATATAACCTCCAGAAATTCAAGAAGAACACCAATTCCTACCTTATTTCCCATGGTTCTCTGAACATTATAGGATATCCTTTTTTGTGGGAACCAGAACATAAAAAAAGCCTAGGAGGTGCGTGTCTCTGATTAGAGTCCTGGCTGCAACAAGTCCTATCTCCCGAAGCAAGGCTCCTTATGATGACTAATTCCCGAGGTGAACTCAGTGGGGTCAGGGTTGAATGGAAACATTTCCATGTGTGGAAATTTCTTGGATCATAAGGGACAATCCTTACATCTTGTACACTGCGCTATAGGAAACTTATCGATGAATGATATGAATAGAAAGATGTCAACATGCACCTCATTATTATAGTAGGATAGGAGGCTACAGAATAATAGGGTGAGCCAGGGAAAACATTATAAATATTGAAACAAGATTAATATCCATGTCATATTTTGATACGTTTCTGTATATTCTCAGAATATCCTGAGATGTCAAATTGAATGTTAATGGAATATTTGTTGCCAGGATAAAAATATTTTTTGATCATTTTGAGAACATTCTATCAGAAAATTCAAAAATAAGTACGATCGTTCTGAACGTTGTAAGAATGTTCTTAAAATATTATGTGCTGTTTGAAATATTATTACGGTTATGGACGACACGTCTGGTCATTTTTAATTAGAATGAATAAAACACCAATATCCCGTTGCTTTTGTTCTGAGAAAAATAGGAGGTGGTTGGTTATTGGTATTGAAATAATGGAATGGAAAGACGCTGCAAACGCGAATTCGAACAAGAACTACAAAATCGGAAACAAATCAGAATTTATCCTATTGAGACGTAAGCATGGAAAGAAATGACACAGAAGATCAAACACAATAATGCTTCCAATATCCCTCAAAGACCTCTTTGGCAAGTGCATAGCACGTCTCAAAATACATCCTTATGTCAACATTTTTTAAACATCCCAAGAAATCCCAGGAATACTTCCTTAGTAGGCAATCAAAGAAATGCCACAGAAGAACAAAAACAATACATTCAATATCCTTTGAAGACCTTTTCGAGAAGTGCAAATTACTTCCCAATAAAACATATGTATGTCAACATCTTCAAAGCATCCCAAAACATCCCAGAGATGTTTGTGCTCGCTGGGGCGGGACCTACAGCTTATAGTGAATCCGAACCACTTCTAGGGCATCGACGTGCTGACAGGATTATAACCATGCATCACACAATTTCAAGAAAAATGCGCAGTCAAGCCAGTGATTCGAACCAACAGTAAAGTTTATGCAAAGTCAGTTGAACAGATCATCAAACGAATGTCGGGCTGCGCTGCTGCACTCTTTGAACTTTCAAAGAGACCGACGGCTGGCGGTAATGTGATTTTCCAACTGACTTTGCATAAACTATACCTTATTTGCATCGTGAACTGGTATATCTAGCGTATTTCTGCGCATAGACAAACTATAGGCCACGGTGCCTCTGAATAACGGTAATCATTATTGTTTATGCTTACAATACTAATCCAGAAATGAACAAGATCTTCTTCCATCGTGGCCATGGCTTTTTAGGTTTATTTTTCTTCCCTATATCATTATCATTTTCTGTCATGTTAACATGGTCGTAAGTATCTGTTGATTCGGAGCGCTGAAAATATTAAAATTAGTAGTAATAGTTAGTAGTTGAAGTTAGTAATAAAAATCAGCGTGTAGCTAGACCAGCGAATCCTTAAAACATCGAGGTCAATTGACGTCACCCCACAACACCAATGAACTCAATATAAAGACCGTTCAGGGGTGTCCCAGAATAACGTTCGTATACTCCTGAAGGGCGATCTACAGATGAAAATAAGAAAAAATGTTCCTATCAACAAGTGTCCGAAACTCCTTCCTAAGGGCGCTACAACCCTTTGAAGGTTGGTCCCTAAATGCAGTTTTCTTCAATTATATTTGTTACCATTGAACCTTCAATCATGGAATTTTGTACTACTAGGTAATTTGATCTCATAAATCGTTTGAAGAAATGGAAAAAATGATATAATATACAGGGAGGTGCGAAACTTGTAGCCCGTGCTATAAAAATGGCCCAATTTTTTTTGGCTCACACTGTATCTTCTTGCTAGTACCAGTATATGATCTTCCAATGACTTCTCCATGAAAAAGACACTCCTGTTGGAATAACGTAAAACGAACCGTTTTCAAGAAAACTGTAATTTTCATTTTGATGTCCTAAAGAATTCACTTGCTGAATGAGTTTGTCAAATTTCGCCAATTTCCGTTTCGGATAACTACTGTTTCCAGAAAAAATCGTAAACCGAGCAGGAATAGGCTATGGAATTGCACACATTTAATTTAGAAGTACCTTGGCGATTGAAAAAACCAAGTAGGCTTGCTTCAGTTAGGCACACATGTTAACTACTCTAATTAGATACTTATTGCACTAAGTTATTTTCAAATTAGCACCTTAAAATGGAAGCATACACTTTTGCGGTAATGGCTGATATTCATTTATTTTTTCTACGCCCATGTCTGTAAACGTCAAAAATCGCACTGTCAACATCACTTGTAAATGACATTTAACAATAACATGCACGTAATGAGATCTCTTAACATACACGTGCGTTTTGAGAAGAAAACTTAAATTTCTTGGTTTAATTAAATTACAATTACATTTTTATTTTCGTACGACTTTATTTGGTCTATTTACACAAATTTAGTCAATTAAAAAGTATAAAAACTTTTAGCATTAGCGAGATATATTCAGGATTGAGAAAGTGATGCCCCTAAATGTAGACAACACGTTGTGCAATTCCCGAGGTTTAATTGCATGCTATGAAAATAAATGTCATGTCATTTAAATTGTCAATTTCTGGAACAAAATATAATTGTATCTAAACATTTTCTCAACTTTATCTACGAATATGTCTGATAGTAGTGAAAGTGATGAAATTATGAGCAATCCACCGGAGATTTTAGAAAAAGCTCAAGCTGCCACACATAATTTGTTATCGCTAAAATCCAAAGAAAGGTACGAAATTTCCTATCAAAAATTCATGGATTGGCGACACAAGCATAATGATTACGATGTTTTTTTATTTAATAGAAGAAAATAAATGGGCTTAGAAAAAGTATAGTACGTTACACGAGTTGTAAGCCCATTACGCACTCATGAAATTTATGCACTCGCCGCTACGCGGCTTCGTGCACAAACTCTTTCATTTCGTGCGTAATGGGTTACTTACAACTCTTGTTACGTAATATACTATTATGGCAAAGCCAATGGTAATGCACGTGAAGCGCGAAGACTCTACCAAGAATCATTCCCAAACCGGACAATTCCTTGCGAAAAAACTTTCATCGATCTGCACCAACGTCTCTGTAAAAAAGGATCTTTCAAACCGGAAAAAAAAACTGGTCAACATCGCACTACTCGGAATGCTGAAACGGAGGAGCGAGTATTGGATTTGATTGCAGGAGACTCAGGAATTAGTGTTAAGAGAATTTCTACCCAAGAAGGTATCTCAAAAAGTTCAGTATGAAGAATTATTCATGAACAATTACTTCACCCTTACCATGTGCAGGGAGTTCAAGCTCTCAAACCTCAAGATCTAGCGCCCAGGTTACAATACTGTAATTGGTTGTGTGATAATGGAGTATTCAATTTTCACAATACTCATATTTGGGATGATGAGAACCTACACACAGTTTTTGAATCAAATCACCAAGAAAAATTTTCTATCAATGTATGGGCAGGAATAATCGATAACTATCTGATAGGTCCCTACGTACTGCCTAATCGTTTGAATGGTGAGAGTTATTCACATTTTTTACAACATGTTCTGAGAGATCTCATGGATGATGTACCATATTCACTGAGGTCTGAGATGTGGTTAATGCACGATGGGGCACCGCCACATTTTTGTCGCGCAGTTAGAGAATATTTGGATAATAATTATCCGGAGAGATGGATTGGACGTGGAGGATCTGTGTCTTGGCCTTCTCGTTCACCAGACCTGAATCCTCTCGACTTTTTTTATGGGGTTATTTGAAATCTTTGGTATATGAAGTTCCTGTCGAGAACGTTGCGGAACTCGAGCAGCGTGTGAGGAATGCTTGCGATTTGATAAGAAATAAGCCTGGTATCTTCCAAAGAGTGAGGGATAATATGAGGAAACGAGCAGGAATCAGCATTGAAATGAATGGAGAACACTTTCAATATCTAGTTTGATAATTAAAATTTTCTATTCCAGTTAGTTTTGCTTTATTTGAGATAAATGTGATCTGGATTTGTTGAGAAAATATCCGCAACAAAATTGTCGAAATTTGACAGACTTATTAATTGCTGACGTAAATTTTTTCGGATATCAAATAGAAAAATAACAGTTTTCTTGAAAACGGTTCGTTTTACGGCATTCCAACAAGGGTACCTTTGTTATGAAGAAGTGTTAGGAAAATCATGTTCTGGTACTAGCAAGAAGAAACAGTGTGAGACAAAAAAAATTGGGACATTTTTATAGCACGGGTTAAAGTTTCGCACCTCCCTGTATATCATATCATTTTTTTCCATTCCTTCAAACGATTCATGAGATCAAATTACCTATTGGTACGAAATGACATGATTCTAGGATCAATGGTAACAAAGATAATTGAAGTAAACTGCATTAGGGCACCAACCTTCAAAGGACTGTAGCGCCGCCCTCAGGAAGCATTTTCGGACACCTGTTGATAGGAACATTTTTTTTTTATTTTTATCTGTAGATCGACCTCCCGGAGTATACGAACGATATTCTGGGACACCCTGTATTGAGAAACTACGAGTACTACGACTAAAGCGATAGCTGAGTGGTCTGTGTATCTGACTCCCACGGTGATAACTGGGTTCAATTCCTGTGAGGCGTCATATTTTTTTTTCCACTCAAGTAAATTTTCAAAACTATACTTTTCAGGAGAAAGGTTCATTTAGGACAAGTTAGGCTGTTAGTACTTTCCTTTTTCACGCAGATGTGATATTTTCCTTCCTCATATTACCTTATAAGTCTTATAACCACGCATTAACTTCTGATAACCTTGGGGTTTCAAAGATTCGCTGGTCCAGCTAGACGCTTATGTATTAAAATTATGCTGGCGATTGTTTCGACAGCTTGTGGCTAACATCTTTGAAAAAAATATATACAGGGTGTTACAGCATTCAGTATCAAGATTTCAGGAAACAATTTTTAGGGCAAAATAAGCCTCTCTTTTTCTATATGTTTGTGTCTGCTAACGCTTCGTTACCGAAATACAAAGCGATGAAACTTCAAGATTTTTATATTTTCCAACACAGCTTTTATAAGAGTTGAAGTTTCGTCCGGTTTCTTATTCTACATGTTTGGTAACTTGTAGTCAAGGTCACAAAGTGAATATGTTGCTCTTTTGTTTTAATTGTGGTAATAGGTTACTCCTTTTTGTTAAAAACATCACCTAAATCTATAGTGAATCACAAAATATGATGTTTTTTCTCGATAATGGTCGCAGATGAGTGAAAGCTATAAGAAACAAGAGAGTTCACAAACGAAACAGATAACTCATTTTGTTTTTCAATGTCTACCAGTAGCGCACGACGAAAGAGTTCATGAAGTGAAAAAGAGCTTGCCCCTGAAAAAAATTCTCTCTGTTGATTCTCATAATCACTCAAAATCATGTCTAATATAAAGTCTAAAAAGTAACCTCTATATACAGGGTGGGCCACCAGTAACGCCTCGGTCTCTAGAAGGCTAACCACTTATCTTCTTGGAATTCTTCCTCTCTAGGAAGTTGCATGTCAACATAGGCTACCATTTGAAATCATTTTGAAACATACAGGATGTCCCCGAAAATCACAAAACACTGAAGTTGAACTTTTTTCAATCGAACACCCTATATATTATTTAATTTTGAGATTCTCCCTGGTGAGCTGATTTCAACAATCCATCATACTTGGGGTCTAGCAGTTATAATTACTGAGATATAGGGTGTGAGAAATCGAGATTTTCCAAGTTCAAGAATTTTTTGTGTCTAAACCATCCATAATTGGTCAAAACGGCTCACATGTCCCTATCTCAACTTTTGATCAACTATCTAATGACATTTAATTGAAACAAATACAGGGTGGTGCAGAATTCAGAATCTTGATCACCCGGTATATGTCCCAATCAAATATCAGTAGATAGTTGATCAGAAGTTGAGATAGGGACATATAAGCCGTTTTGACCAATTATAAATAGTTTCGACACCAAAAATTCTTTAACTTGGAAAATCTCGATTTTTCACACCCTATATTTCAGTTTTTATAACTGCTAGACCCCAAGTATGATGGTTCGTTGATATCAGCTCATCAGGGAGAATCTCAAAATGAAATGATATATAGGGTGTTCGATAGAAAAAAGTTTAACTTCAGTGTTTTATGGTTTTTGGGGACACCCTGTATGTTTCGAAATAATTTTAAATGGTAGCCTATGTTGACATGCAACTTCCTAGAGAGGAAGAATTCCAAGAAGATAAGTGGTTAGCCTTCTATAGACCGAGGCGTTACTGGTGGCCCACCCGAACTGGCAATTGCCACTTTGAACTGGCAATTGCCACTGTATATATATACAGAGTGACCCATTTGAAAGCGGGCCACCCCTGTAT